AAATACATACGTAGTTCAGTACATACATAAGTATACATATGAATATATACATGTATATGTGCAGATATTCGTATACTTCCCTATTTGTGAAATTGGCTGTAGATAGACAGTATAAAATATCTGCAGGAAATCAGAAATTTATTGCTGTTTTTTGTAAACATATACATACATATTTAATTTTTAATTCTAAGTCACATAATGAGATGAACATTTGACAATAAGAAGATCTAATCATTAGGAAATTCAGTTCTGAACAGAGAACACTAAAGATTAAGTCAGAAACTAAGACTGAGGTTAAAATTTTTAAATTAACACTGAGATTCATGTTAAGTTGTCAGACAGTGTCCATGACTGTCCTGAACTCCAAGGGCAAGTGCAGAAGTTCTGAGGTGAGTGCTGTGCTCTGTGAAGACAGTACCCCATTCTTCAGCAGTTTTCGAAAATAGTAATTTTGAAATCTTGTGAAGATTTCTCCAGGAAAGTCAACATAAACAAAGGTAAGATTTTGAAGAGAAATTCAAAAATATCTTGACAACAGCTGTCAGAAGGCCTGAACAGCTGTTAGTTTATTGTGTTTATTAAAGACTGTACGCACCAATGGATCACACTCTGAGCGAGGTCCTCTATGTACAGCATCCTCAAATATCCTCCAGCTGATAACCACTGACTCAGAACTCCAAGGCTCTCTCGGTGTTATTTCTGGAATAAGTCATTAAAACAAAGACTATCTATCCCACCCCTACTTTTCAGAGGGCTAAGTCAGAGAAGGCAACATCTTAGTTTCTCAGTCTGTATTGATGAAGAGCTAGTTGTTTTCAAATTCACAAGGTAATGCTTTTGTGAAGATGCACGTGCGTGTGAACAGAACAATGTTGTGTCTAAATGCTTGTTCTACAGCTCACAATTTGCAATTGTGGCTGGAAATATACACTAGCAGTAGCACACATGAGGAAAGGAGAGAAAGACAGTAGAATCCAAGAACACATCTTCCCCATATCAAACTAATTTACTCTCTTTACTCAGTCTCTCATTTGGTAAACTCAAAGGGCTTTGTACTTACATAGTGCTTTTATAAAAAAGAATTTTTTATTATTTTATGTAGGTGTGTGTGTGTGTGTGTGAGCATTTTTGTATATGAGTATGTGTGCATGTGAGTGAGTGTGTGTGTGTGTGTATACCTTTGGAGGCTAGAAACTTCAGATGTCCCTAGAGTGGAACTTACAGGAAACTGCTCTGAGCCATATAACTTGGGTCCTCTGCAGTAGCAGTATGGGCTCTTAACCACCAAGTCATATCTCGAGGTCTTCATTGAATGCTTTTTAATTTAATCAACTTCTATGAAAAAAATAGTAGCTGCTCTGAAATCAGACTGATTACATTTTATTTAGATAAAATTCCATCAATTAATCATACATGAAATCTGTACTACTAGATATATAGATTGAAATGCAAGTCTTAGGATTAGACCATCCCTTGTGCTCCAAGCAACAGGATTTAAGGTGAGCTTTGCAAGGGTGACTCTATGTGACAATGATATTTGACACTTTTGAGTGCAAATCAAAGGCAAGAGGACACTGCACCTTGTCACACACTTATCACATCACCATATGTTCTACACCACCCGTGGGTCACAGATTGACAAGATATTATCCCTAAGTGTGAAAAGAGACTGCCTTATAAACTTACCAAGGTAGATTAGGACCATGTGAATACTTGGTCATATGAAACCATAACAGAAAAATCAGGTCTGAGATATTATTTAATGTGCCAGATGATGACAATATCACCTGGATCTCATAAAAATGACTCCACTTAATACACCAATGGGGCTCGAGCGATTGACCCATTTGACCCTTCTGTGTGTTGTACCTTAAGGGAAAATCAGAGCAAATTTCCAACAGGTCCTGGGCCTTCAGCTTATCTCAGTCGCTACTGTGCTGAGTCAGCCTTCTTTAGTTGCCACTGCTCCATCTATTCAAACATCTCTTCACCTATTGGTCTATCTGGATCTACTCCCGTACCTTGCTTCACTGGCTCCATGGTCTCACACCTTACTTCTGAAACTCAGCTCAACTGAAGCCCGCTCTGTGGCTTGGACTAATCATTGCCTCTTCAGCAACTCTCTGTCATTCCTATCTAGCCTCTAAGAAGACTGCATATTATCAACTCCCTGCTTTAGCTTCTGCCTCCTGCAAGACCTCTTCAGACTCTTTGTACTCTGCTGCAGCCTTTTTTATCCAGTTCGTAGCCAATATATATAGTTATAGTTATATAGTTATATATTATAGATACTGCATAATGTATGATATGATGTATGATCTGTGGGTAACTATTACTGAGATTGGAATAAAAGAACTTGTGCTGCCAATCTAGATTCCACAGGTAATTGAGATGGTTTGGCAAATCACACGCAACAAATTCAACAGACTTGTGAAATGTTATTCAATGTGTCCTGACATTGCAGAGACACACCAAAGTGTTCATCTAAACCACACAGTTGCAACAGCAAGGCACATGATCTTATGTAATTTTGAATCTCAACTTCATAGAGACTCTGAATTGCCTTCCTTAAGAATATGGTATGTCCTGACGCATGACTTTCTAAAAAGCAAAATGTGATGGATGAAGATTATAAATAAAATGAGCCAAGTTCCACTTTCAGAGAGAACAGCAAAGCATGTGCGGTCCTATATGCTTTTCTTTCTATATGAGTGGGAGGAGATAAAATGGGCCTGCATGGTTTTCCCAACATGTGAAACTTTTGTAACTCTTATCTGGTATTTTCATATTCTGTGAAGGAAACTTCTTTTGGTAGAGGTTCTTGAACTGTATGCACAGATAAAAATCAAATGCAAACCTAGTTAGGGGCTGGGTATATTTACCTGGCAATCCAATTTATTTATATATATTGTACCTCATGCTGTGCTAGACAAAAAGTAATATATGTGTTAGATTCTCTCGAGTAATGAAACAGAGGAGGAATTAAAAGTAAGTAATTGCAAACACAGTCTGCTGTCAAGTTCTTATAATTCTGTGTGTGGAAAGCTTCTGTGGAAACAACTAAAGGAGTTAGAGCTTGTTTTATCATGGTATAATGTCAGTCTTTACCTGTTTGAGGAATTTTAAGCTCAAACATAGTACAGAGGATAAATAAGACTATAATGATATCTTCCATGAGGGAAATTTTAAAAAAATATTGAAGCTCAATATTAGTTGTGGACTCTTTAAAGTTGAATTTAGTCAAAACTTTTACTTCACCTCCCTATTTTATGAAGAGATGTCAACCAAAAATTTATTTGAGTTCTTTAACTTTTTAATAAAGGGAAACTTTTAGCAATACAAAGCTCATGGCAGGCTTATCACTGAAGTTTTATAGACGGCCTCCCTAGAAAAGGTTATTCACCCACACTCAATACACTACCAGGTGGATAATAAAATGAGTTTATGGTGTGCTTTGGTGGACGTAGGCTTGCTATATTTTCCTTTTATCTCTGTTTGTTTTAACATCTGTCCTCTGTTCCTTGACCTATATACTTTATTGGGGGGAAGCAAAAACTGAATTGGCTGTGCTTCTTTGAACTTTGTTGACCTTGCTCTTGCTGGAGAATATTTTAAGCGGGGAGTTCAAACTGGAAAAAGAAAACTGCGCTTATTTGACTCAAGTTTATTTTACACCTGAAAGCTGGTGGTTCTAGTGCAGGGTGCATGGTTAGTTACATCCTGTGCCTATGACTTCACTTTCTCATATTAAACCTTTCTCATTTTTAGCTGAACTCTACCAGATAGGGTTAGATTGATCACTAGGGACACTCTCCAAAGTGTTTACTTCATGTTCGGGTACCTGGCTGAGGACAGCACAATGGTCCATTGGATGCAGGATGTGTGAAGGTGATGTACATGGTGTTTTGGTCTAGTCTGCTCTCAAACCGCAATGGTAGGAAAGTGGCATGGCGTGCCATTGTCTCCTGTCTCTGTCTGCGAGAATTCTTTGTGAGTCAAGAAAATTCCTCTCTGCATTTTGTTTTCCTAATGCTTCTTGGCTCCTCGCCAGCAGGTTTTTACAGTCTGTTGCTTGCCTCTCAGATTAGAAGAATGCTGGCATATTTTAACAGTTTCCTAGGATTCAAACAGCCTTTAATTAACGGGAAATTGATGTTTTGGAATGTTATCAAAATATGGGAGACAGAACACTGGAGCTATGCTTCCATCCTTGCAGTTTCTAAATGCAGTTAGTCTGAAAACAGGGGCCAGAACTCTGTGCTCCTTGTAACCAGCCGCCTGCCCACCGGTGTGCAGAGGAAGATCTGTGTTGGTGTAATATTCTCATTGCCTGCTCATTGGTGCCGGTCTAAATTCCTCCCACTCATGACAGGGGTGGAGACAGGCAGTTGTTGAATTGTCAAAGCTCCAGGGTGCTGAATAGCTCAGGGCTGTTGGGCTTGTAGTGCTGGCTTTTTTAATCCTCTTGCTGCCAGGGCAGTGTGGTACGGCTGCCTGTGCTTGTGGATCGGTTTCTTTTCTGTTCCAGATTCATGTCATTATTCTGTCAGACTTTTGGTGAAAAGAGCAGTTCTGCAAAACAGCCACTCAGACTTGAAGCATATTCTGAACAGGTTAGTTTTCAAGGAGGGATAGGAGAACAGTGTTGGATTGTAGGGGGTTTCCCTTGGATGCTGGAGAGCTTGGTTACAGGTGCATGGCTGACTGGTGCTGAGCACCTGAGTTCCAGGCAATACAAAAGGAGCAAGTTGTGCAGTGTGAAATATTGACTGATCCTCACCTAATCATACAATTGCTATCACAGAGAAAGGCGCTGCTCACTTACCTTTGACTATCCAATGACAAAGCTATTCCCTGGCCAAATCTTGACTGGTGTGACTCTGTTTTGTTTTTTCTAGTGACCCAGAAAGCTGGTTCTTCCCCCCGCCCCTCAAAAAGTCATGGTGTTCACTTTTCTGTGCCTGGTGACCCTGATCATTGCTTTGCTCTTGTCTCTATAGGTGGTACATGCCAGAGTCCTGCTCTCCCAGCCCTGGTCCGGCCGCCAGCCCCTCCTTTGCAGCCATCATTGGATATTAAGCCCTTCCTTCCCTTTCCTCTTGACACTGCAGCGGCGGTCAATCTGTTTCCCAATTTTAATGCGGTGAGTATCAGATCCAAATTTGCACCTGTCCGGGATGAGAAGGCTTATTAAAGGTCTGGGGTATTTCTATTACTATTTCCGTCTTGATATGTTATATATTCCACAGTGTTTTTGTGTGCCATGGTGAAATTGGATGTCAATTTAGAGAAATAACGTTCAAGGAACCAGGCTCCTAGGCAGGGGTTGGAAAGATAATTCATTGGTTGATATGAGTTGATGTCATCAGTGATAATCTCTTTTGTAAAACAGACAATGCTGCTATTGTTTAGAACTTGCCAAACTGAAATCGAACAAATTTATTATACAGTGTAAAAGTTTAAGTTCAATGTAGCTTTTTTTTTTGACATGGGAGTCTTCTAAGTTGCTTTATATCTGTTTCTTTTCTACTGCAATACATAGGGCTGTGAAAAAGCCAGAACTAAAGCTGGTGCTCCAAAGTGCTTGTTTTCCATTTCTCTCTGTTCAATGAAGTGATTCAGTGTGTGTGTGTGTGTGTGTGTGTGTGTGTGTGTGTGTGGGTGGGTGTGTGGTGTTTATATATTTGTATATCTGTGTTTGTGTGTGAACAAAAACTGGACATTAGAATGCAGAGGTTACTGCTGTAGAGGGGTCAGCTTGTCTCTGTCTGACCTATTACCTTCCACCAGATGAGGAACTCCTATCATGTAGAAGCTCCAGGGTTGGGTGGAACAGCAAGCTTATGTTCTGAATTACAGCATTCTACCCTTTATTCTACCTTCACTCACCAGCTAAACTCTGAGACCCCCTTTCCTCTAAAAGCAGAGACCTCTCTCACTCTAAACGTAGGGAGCCCCATCTCTAAAGTCTATAAAATCAAGAGATATCCTTGGTTCTGTGTGTTGCTGTTAGATTTCCTGTCCCAGCTGAGATGAGTGGCTAAACGTTACCGAGCGTTATTTCATATGACAGACCAAAATAATAAATACAGTCTGATAAAACCAAAACTGTGATAGCTTAATGTATGTAGCCGCTTTCCTCCTTACCTTAACCCCACTTAGGACTCTGGCACCCACTTCCACTCTACCACGTCCATCACCCCCAGTTACAGATGAGTCAGGACAAATGTTTCCTAAATTATTTTGGTTCCTTGGGTTTTGTCAGAAGCTTTCTCAGCACAAATTCTATTATTTTCTTGTCTATTTTCACTTTTTTTTACTGTAAGTTGGCACTCATTATGTTTATCATAATTCTTGTGTGTGGGTTTGCATACCATGAGACTATTCTTAAGATAGATATTGAAGTGAACTCATAATGGTTAGAAACAAGAAAGTCACTTGTTTTCTGAGAATCACCTGCTTCAGCTTTCAGCAGTTGCTGCAATGGAGGGCCAGGCTTTTCAGTGGCAGTATGCATCAACACAGCCAAAGAAAAGAGGATTAATACAAGAGGTCACCCAGTGCCCAGTGAGCTCAATAATACTGTTTTCTGGTTGCAGCACCTTACCCAGAGATGAACTTAAGAAAAAGTATAGTAATCTTCCCACAATGAAGCCATTCAGGAGAATGGAGGTCCAGGAGAACTTATTTCCTTAATAGCATTTTATCACAGGGACTTGAAACATGATGGATAGTATTTGAATGACAATAATATGCTGGTCAAATATAGTAGACAAAGGCATATCCATTGATCACTTTATATTTAGTCGTGAAGAGGAATATTTCCATAAGAACCTTATTTTGAGATGGATAGGGTAAAAAAGATATGGTAGTGTATGCTTGTCATTCCTGCCCTCTGGAGGCTGAGACAGGAGTATCTTGAGTTCAAGGTCAGCCTGATCTCATATTGAGAGAGACTTTGTTCCAAGAGTTCAAGAGGAGGTGTCGGTGGGGAGAGAAAGAGAAGAAGGAGGAGGAGGAGGAGGAGGAGGAGGAGGAGGAGGAGGAGGAGGAGGAGGAGGAGGAAGAGGAGAGAAAAAAGAAAAAAGTTTGCACTAGAAGGCAGGTGATATACAGATGAGATAAAAGATAAAAGACAGGGTCTATGGCGTTGTTGGCCCTAATTCTATTGACTTTATCACTCTCTCCAAGACCGAGAGAACATTATGAAAGAGAGAACATAAAGAATTAAAGAGCTGGAAGATGCATAGGTGCCTTACAAAAAGATACCTTCTGGATATAACAAGGCTCTTCCATTCATGAACTACCTGCAGTGATGCATTCAAGAACTCTGTGCACTTATGGATAGCTATATAAGACCTACACATGACAGGGCTCATCGATATTTCATCATGGATAAGGTCTCATCTCTCCCTGAGGGGCTACTGCCAGTGAATGGTTGCTGGAGGGGCATCGTGTCAGGCTCCTCTCTTGCAGGGTGGAGAACCAAATATTTCTCAGTATGACCAAAGTATGAACTGAGAGTCTTGTTTAGTCTTCCTGTAGAGAAATCCTCCTCATAGAGCAGCCTTACCTGGAATGCAACAGATAATGTTTAAAGGCAAAGAATAGAGAAAAACTATATCCCTATTGGACGTTGCAAGAGGAAGTAAAGCAAACAAGCAAGAAAACAGTTTAACAGAAGCCAAAACATGCAGTTAGGATGGGCCTTGAGAATCTTGGTTTCTAGAACAGGGTTGGGTACTTTCCCATGGGACTTCACGGCATAGAAACGAAAGGGTCAATTTCAGGTTAAACTAAAGATTGCTCCAACTGAGACAAAATGGAGAAATCTTTGCCCTGCTATCAGTGGTGTAGCAACTGAAAAGTGCTTAAACAAGTAATTAAAGTCACACACTAAAAAGACATTGAAGTAAAAGGGTGGAGTGGTTGGAAAGAAGTGTTAGGCAGGAGAAGGAAGTAAGTAAGAGAAGGAAATAGAAGAGGCAGAAGAATAAAATTATGAAACTCTCTGAAATAACAAAAAGGAAGGAAGCAAAGGAATGAGGACATAAGAGAGGGGACAGAAGTGATGGAAAAATGAAACAGATTCAGGCAGAAATGCAACAGCATAAAAATTACATTTCTAAGACTCTTGCTAACCTTGACTTTTAAGAAGACCAGAGGAAAACTGGCCATGCACTGGAATTCTTTCCTCTTAAATGACATCACTGCATATCCCCTGGTATATCAGTCCCAAGTCAGCTTTATAGTTGTTTAGGCAAAACTTTTGGAAGATTGTTCAAGCCTAATTTAAAATTTTCAATATGCCTTTTGGGAAATATTAAAAACAAGTGGTTAACTTGAGTGACATGGAGGACTGTTTGCCATGAGAAAAAAGAGAAAAAAACAAAACCCATGACCTGTCCTGCTGTGCTCTGCGATTGAGCATATCTCTTTATCTTCTTTGCTGCTGTTTCCTCCTTTTAAGGATAAACTGGACAACCGCCGGGCAGTGGTGGCAGACACCCTTAATCCCAGAACTTGGGAGGCAGAGATAGGTAGACCTCAATGAGTTTGAAACTAGCCTGGTCTACAGAGTTCTGGACTGTCAGGGCTATATAAAGAAACCTTGTCTTGAATCCTCCTCCAAAAAATAAATAAATAAAAAAGAATAAAGCAGACGTATGAACCTCTTTCTTTGTTAGTGAAGCCATTCAAAGTTGGAGGTGTTCCTCCCTGTGAGTGAAGATAGCCTTTGTGATTCAAACTGGACTCTGCAGCTAGACCAAGTTCAAATACTAGGAATGCTTTATGTCACACATATGGCCTTGGGTAAGTCACACATTTCATGTGTATGTCAATATTTTCATCCACAAAATAAGACGAGTCATAGAACATGTTTATGTGTTTACTGAGTATGTGGGTCAAAGTGTTTCAAACAGGGTTTCAGCATACAGGCAGGCTATTGAATGATTCCGTCATGTACTCCTCAAGGGTTTCATAACTCTTAAGAGTTTGAACATAGTAGTTTGTTGGTGAGCTAAGTTGGTAGGCTTTGACATGAATGTGTTCCTGTTTTCTGGAGTTTGACTTACATTGTTCACTGGGACCCCAAGGCCTTCTGTTCCTATGCTTGCTGTTGATTCCTTGGTGGTTCTAGCATTGGTCAAGCTGCGGCTCGTTAAGGATTAAGCCTTTCTTGCTTTCAAAAAAGGATAACGTTTGGAAAGTTCACGATCTGGGCTTTAGATTCAGAATCATGACATAGAATCTCCGGAAGCGTTATTGTAGGTTCTTGGTTTTATAGCAGTTGGAAACTCAATCCAGGATATCTTAAATTTACTTTTATTGCTGTTTCCAATTTTGGGTTGAGAAGCTCTCACTCCATCAGGCTGAAGATAAATCCAAAGGAGTTTCTTTTTCTAGATTCACTTATTTGATTCTATGTATATGAGTGTTTGCCTGAACATATGTGTGTGTGTGCCATATGCATGCCTGGTACCCAAGAAAATCATCAGAAAGTGCTATATCCCCCTTGAAATGGAGTTAAAGATGGTTGTGAGGCACCTTGTGGGTTCTGTGCATCAAATCCAGGCATTCTGAGAAAATAACAATTACTTTTACACACTGAACCGTCTCTCCACTCCTCCCTTCGATCTAATTTCATTACAGAGTGTGCTAAAGTTTTAGAACCTAGCAGTCCTATCCATACTGTGTTGGTGGGGCATTGCTGGGTTAAGTTATTTGTGAGCAAAGGCATTCATTAGTTACTTGTGGTTGGATTAGTCATTGAAGCATCAAGCTTTTTTTGTATTGTGCTTAGGACCCACAAACCACACAAGACTGTCAGTAGTCCCACCATTGCAGATTTTTCATATAACTGTTATTTCTTTGAAAGAAAGTACTCCTTAGCCATCCTGCCTCCAATTTCCGCTCATATATGATTTTAAACAATTTTCATGATGATCATCAATTATCTACTTTATTTTTCCCATGACGGTATGAATATGACATCCTTTGTTCATTTGGAGTAGAGTCTGCCATAAAGATGAAGGAAATTTTAAAAATCATTCTTCCAAAGCAAAATAGATAAATATGTAACTAGTCTTTTCTGATTGCTGTCCTTCTAAGAGAACATAAACCACTGGATTCACATGTGAA